TAAAAGGGAAAGAGCTAATTTTGCTGTGATATGTTGATAGAGTATTTAATTTTTAATTACAATAATCACGTTCAATCCTAGAGATATAAAGGATCATGTAAGGAACAAATTCACTGCTGCCAATCCATTATTTGAATTTTTGTTTAGTATAGAACTATAAATAAGATAAACCCTTTTGTTAATTAGGTTTGTTAATGAAAATTACATATAAAAGTAGTTAAATAAACATGTAGCGGAACAAATCCAATACAATTAAAGTTGGATCAAACTTGCACATAATAAAATTTGAACTCAAAAGACTTTGATATTTCAAGATCTCTTCCTTATCTTAGGTGACTTTATTTATTAGTTAAATGTTACCTCTTTGTGAGAAAAGTACTTTTGCCTTTATGTATGACAGAAACCAAATGTTTTATTAAACCAAATTATTCCCATGAATGGGCATATAATAATTAATTCACAAAGGCTGGCGGCTAAAACCTTAAAAAATCTTGTAACAGGAAAGTTATTAACCAAGATCATGAATAAGTTCCTTTAATGAATTAGAATAAGTTATTATCAACATATGATGAGTGCAGCACTAATAATACAACATGGTATATTATTAAATAATTTCGTGGTAGGACAACTAATTAACCACGACAGATTTATCTGTTTCCAAACAAGCAAAACAAATAAATTAATTTCCAAAACGAACCCACATGAAGAAGCACATGCACCTCCAATGCTCGTCAGAAAGACCATTTAAAGAATGATCAGTGCTTCCTTTTTTCCCAAGTAACCTTCAAATGCAACACTGAGATGACCAATATGTCCCAACTGTCTGCTCTATGTGGAAGTTTTTACGGTAGACTTGAACTTATTCTTTCTATTAGTTCGGTGAGCATGCAAGATGAAAACTTTGTCAGACTCGAAACCAATTTTAAACCATTTCTTAGAATAAAAATGTCGGGAATGATGGAAGAAAATCATCATCATTTCATCAAAGAGAAATTCTTTTAAGATGGTGACATTATAGTTATAATCCACTTAGCATTCAACTAATTAATCAAAGTGGAGCAGTTATAATGAGAATGTAAAAGAAGAATAAACAAATAATCCGTAAAAGATAAAACATCTTTTTTCATTTTTAATGATAATAATGGGGGTAGCTGCAGTGACAAATGAAATAAATAAACGTATTAAACCACTTTTTGTGAATCAGAAAAGCCTCTCAATCGGCTTATCTTAATTTGCTGCAAATGGAATGTAGGACAATGTAGGATGAAGTTTCATTGTCTTCTTTTGCAAAAGCAATTATGGTGGATCTTGCATGCTAAAGGAATGGATCTTACAGAAATTTAGAACGGGTTCAATGCATCTTCAATTCTCCTTGGAGCCACAAAGGAAGATAATTTAGGGAAACTAAAGCAAAGGGGCATGTTTTGTCTAATATATATCGGTTAATATGGCAACTTGAGAATTTTTTTCATTTTTTCCTCCTTTTTTTTTGTGCCACGTCACAGAATGTAGACCATTAACTTTTTTATTTCATGAAAAGTGAGGTAGGACATCACACCATCCAAGATCAAAGTTTACAGATAATTGTTTGTTCCAAGAGAATTCAAAGACTGTTACTAAACAAAAATATTTGGTTATAATTGTATTTTGGGGCCAACTTACAACAGATTAGCTCGTGTTTTCTGTATTGTGATGGTTGCATTTGTAGAGAAATTTGGTGAGTGGATTATGAGGAACAGTTGACTGATCCAAATCTAGATTCAACCTCCAGGATCAAGATCATGATATTAATTTGATGTAGTTTAAGCCTTTTACAGGTCATTTGATTAGCAAACATGAGTAAAGGAATCTGGTCTATTCAGTTTCTATTAGAGTATTTGAATAAGTGACATTCTATAATCAGTTGGTTTTGCATTCCAAATAAAGGTCTGATGCTAAGAATTACAATCCTTTTAGGCTAAAATGAATGGAAAAGTTAGTTATCCATGATTCTGAAAACACATAAAACAACAGCCGAAGGAAACAGGCCTACTTAATGCTGGTAGATGGCAGGGCTTGCCTTCACCAAGGGTTGCCACCGGGGGCGAAGCCATGAGTTTCAAGTAGGGGGGAGCGGGATAAAATTAAGGGTTGCTAAATGCTAACCCCCCAGGCTTGTAGCACCCCATATAGAACATGTATTAGACTGAGACTCTGAGAAGACATCTAAGTGTAGCATTTCAGACAAAGTGTTAAATTTGTTTGCAGGTCTCTGCACAAAGTTGTCCGGGAAGTTTAAAGTACCCAACGTGTGGGCTCCAACAGAGTAGGACAAAACTCAAACTTTGAACCAGACCATGTGTTGCTGGCAGATACAACAGGGAACACAATGGTAGTCGATCAAATTAAGGCTCGGTCCTTTAACCTCAAAAGGCTGAGGTTGAAGACTTGAAGGGTGGACAACAAATTATCTTGGGATGTAATGCAACAGCCTCTGTTCTTCTACTTTCATCGGATTATGTCTTGACTATAGAGTACTTCATAAAAGATATAGAGTTGGAGCAATGTTGTTTTCGACAACTTCTTGTCCAAGTAAAACTATATCTCTTACGGGCGTTATACCTCTAATGATGGCCCTAAACAAAAGATAGTTCCTGGGAATAGCTTTGTAAAGAAAACAACATGGAATAAAAGAACTGGGGGAGTACATGGGGTGAACCATGAAGCTGATATGACACTAGGAAAACCAAATGAAAGAGATGAATGAAGGTGATGATGTTACTTTCATGGATTAGGGAGATGAGAGATGGCGACCCTGGAGGATTATCTTTGGATTATGATGGCCGAAGATTAGTCCCCAGTCCTGCCAAGAGCCATAAGGTGCATATAGGATCGATGAATCCCCCATGAGTACTGCCTTTGCTCTTTAGAAGCCTAAGAAGAGACAAATTCCTGATGTTCCGTTTCTTTGTCAATGCTTGTTTTGTTTCAAACTCTCACATGGAAAGAGAAACCATTAAATTGAGAAATTTCTGTAAATAATATAGGAAATTTCAAAACCTTAGCCATTATCTTTATCAATTCGTAAGTCATCATTACTTTTGTTATTGATTGAAGAAGAAAAACTGAACAAGCTCTTATCCTATAGAGCATTTAATTACTATTGTTAATTTTTCTAATAAATCTATGATGAAAATTAAATTCATCAAGAAAATCTTATGTCCTTAGGATGTGTTTGGGATACAAAATTATAATAGGATAAAATAAGATAATATTATAAATATGATTAAATTAAATAATATCATTCTATCTTATATTTGATTTGTAAAAAGATTAAAATAAAATCATTTATTTATTGGTCAAAATTATAAATAAGATAGGATAATATTAACGTACGATCTAACCATCCCTATTTCTCTTGTAAGGTCTTTGCCTGAACAAAACAAAAAAATTTCTTCAAAATTTATACAATTTAAATTATTAATGTAATTTTTAAAAGGAATAATAGGACTTGTAAATTTTAGTGAAAATAATTCTCTTCACTTTGAGAGGATTGAATCATTTTATATCAAGAAGATGATTAATTCTTCTTGTAATCCTATTCATATAAATCAAATATAATATAAGATGATTATCATCTTATATATCAAACATGACCTTAGAATATATTTGATATAGGATTAATTTAGTCTTAAGGTTGAAAATGATTTTTACATTAAAAAACTACTTTTATTTTATCCAATTTCAATGTTAAAAAAAATTGCTGTTTTTGCATTCAACCTAAATTTTGTGAGTAAAATCATTTTATTATTCTTGTATCTCTAATTATATATATATATATATATATTGTTAAATCTAATTTTTTATTATTTTATGCATATCTTTAAACATTTCAATTCATCAAATCACTTTTTAATAGCAATGCTGAATACTTAAAATTTTTAAATTATATTTTTCTCAACACACTTTTATAACACTATTTTCAACCAAAATTTTTCCATCCTCAACAATAAACCACAAGATTGACATGCTTATGCCTACTTGCAATATACTAAATAAGATAGTTTAACCCAATATTGCAAATGATTACTAAAATAAATAATTAAAAACAATGACAAAGATATAACAGTAAAAGAAGTTATCATATATCATATACATATATATATATATGTATATAATTGTGACTTTCAAAAATGCTCAAAGTGATTGATTAAAATATTTTAAATAAATGTTTATATAAATTTTAATTTAAGTAATTCTTTTGTTATTAGACTTTTTATTATTGGACTTCTATTAAACAAAAACTATGGTTTTTACATAAAATAAAATAAAAATATAAAATGAAATGAAATCATCCAATGTAAAACTTTTTAAATTTGGAATGTTACTTCTTTATATCATAATGAACGGTTTTTTTTTTTTTGGTAAAGTTCAAAGTTAAATTTTTTAATTTTTATTATATCTAAATACTTTAATTTTAAGGTATATTAAAAAGACTCTTTTGGTAACTAAGGGTGGAATAAACTATATTATTGTAATTTAAAAAGTTATATTTAATCACTTAAGATTTATTTCATTAATTTTAAAACTAAAATCTTTTTTTTTTTACATTTTATTATTTTTTTAATTTTCAATCCCTTCAACTTTAACTATATCATACTCTAGATGGGAATAATTATTTTCTATTGGAGCTTTACTTTAATATTTATGTTATATTTATTTACTTTTTGAACTTATATTTACATTTTCAATTTAATTTAGTATTACAATGATTATTTTAATTTCATTATTATAGAAACTACTAAAGTTATTTAATTATATTAATCTATATTATAATTATAACTCACCTTGGTCAACACATCCATCTTAGCATGATAATCAAACTAGACATGGAATTTGATAAATATCACCAGGAGTCATCATTTTTTTTTTTTTGGGTCGTTTTGATACCTACTTGCAGGATGTTAAACATAATTACTAAATGGGGTAGAAAAGAGATAAAACAAAGAGGTAACTCTGCGAAGGAAAATGTTTCCGAAGGACTGATTTATTTTTCTATATGATTGATAATGGAATAGCCAACTAGAATCATGCATATACATTGCCTTTCTAGCCGCCTTGCCTATAATCATAGGCAGAAACAACTTGGCAGGAAGAATAGCTGAAATCTTGATTCTTGTTCACAGTAAGAATTGTCTAAGGACATGGATATATCTACTTGGATAATTGTTGCATCCGCCATGGCAAGCAGAGAAGCTTCTGAGTAAAAGAAGTAGAGAAGAAAAGAAAAACATGAAGAAAGGGATGGGGAGGGAGATCTGAACATCACAACAGGACATTGCTACTATGTATGCCTTTTATTGTTCACGAAAAGGAAAAAGAAGAATAATTCCTTTACCACCAAAATGCAACTCAGGAACTCATCACCTTTTCCTACTTATTCTGATGCAGGACCTATCATTCTTCTCTGCAAATGAAAGAAACCAAAAGCCATTCAATATGCGGTGGTTCACTTCTTCGAGCAAGAAAATGACATTGGCAGATGCTTTAAGCTAGAAACATCAAACAACTCCATAAACCTCTGATCAGAAACTCTAGCTTTTGCAGCTGCAAACCTTTGATACTCATCAAAGACAGATGACAAACACCATCTTTGCAATTTTCTTAGGCATCCAACCAGACAGCCAGTTCGATGCTGGAAATACAAGAACAAAGCAACATCATAAAACTCAGAAGGTATTGACTTGTCATACTCAGATATGAAATAATAGAACCAACATGCACATACCTTCCCTCGTTTACAGTGAATTAGAACTGGGTGATTCCTTACATCTGCATTGTAGAGAGGCAAAATTAAATTATTAAAAATAATCAACCAAATCTAGTTAGCCGGAGATGAAGTGTAATAGTGTTAAAAGCTTGTAGTACCAAGGACAACTTTTAGAGCTTCACGAATTGTATCCTCTGGAATATTTACAAATGGCTCCTGGATGAAATGTGTATATTAGTTTCTAACATAAGATATCATTTCAAAGTAGTAATAAACTTCTTTCAATGTATAGCATGTATAGTATGTTAGAACTTAAGCTTTTCAATATTTAACTGGTGGTGGATAGAAAATAAATGGCATCCCTATTGTCAAAGACCTAACAATGATCCTACATTCAGTTATAGAAATACAACACTGCTACTAGTTACTTCAAAAGCTCAAAGAAAGGAGTTTATATATACAATACACTTACAATCCATACGACATGAACCTTAGACATCTCTATCACTTTAAATCATCACATTTATAATAGACCATACATTACATGGCACTTTATTTAATCATCTATGAGCAAGCCAGCTATTGCAGTTTCTGCAATCTCCAGTATACGTGTGATGATACCAACTTACTCTTTGCCAACAGTTATGTCAAGCTCACACAGCAATATATCATTTTACCATCTTTCTCGAGCAATTATCTTTATTTCATTCAAGGATCAAAATCAGTAAAATTTTAGTTTCTTCTGGCACACCAAGGAGATTCATTGACATGATTCCGACATTATACCCATTTGGGAATAAGTCAAGAGTTATGCCAGACTTTTGGTAGAATTAAATTCTCTATAATCAATATTTATCTCTATTATGATTGTGACAAATGAGTCACTATTATGAAACTCCAAATAGTCAAACCAGCATAGAAATTTATGCTCATATATTCTTCATTGAATAATCAGGGCATTCTTCACATGGAGAAATTAGGGATCATAGAAACCAGCTGATTTGACAAGGAGCAAACTGATGGAGGACATTTAAGGTAGGACTTTTGTGGACTTAATTTTAAGTTTGTGAAGCTGTTATAAATGTGTATATGTTTATCATAGACTTGAGAATTATGATTCTGACAACCGAAATTTCAGATCTTTCCTTGAGATTTGTTTTGAAATTATTAATGCTGCACCCATATTCTTCCTAAGAAAGCCACAGCAACTTCCCTGGGCCTTGACTAATTTAGGTTGGGAATTTATTTCTCCAATTTCTGTAATGACACCCCAATTCAAAAATGATGCAAGGGAAAATGTGCTAACAAAAGAATGGCCAAAAAAATGCTATGAAATGAGAGATGACTCTGGAAGAAGAGGTACAAATATATCTAGAAGGCACTTACTGCCTTTTCATAAAGAATTGACATGCAATGCCAATTAAAATTGCAATCAATTGATGTAAGGCAAGATTTTCCATATATGAATGTAGATTATGTACATAGAAGACATGGAAAAGAAAACACTGGAGATGATAGAAAGTGAAAGGACTGAGAGAAAGAACTATATAGATGGCAGAGTGAATGAAAAAATTAAGCAGCTGAACAAGTTTTACCAAGAACCAACTAGAGATAAAGACAAGAATATATTGACGGTATATGTCCATAAACTATAAAGTAAAATGTAAAGCAAATAGAATCTTAACAAGTTCAGAAAATCAAAATCCAAAACACATAGATCTTTGGCCACCAATCTTGCAATAACAAAAGGTAAAAAAACATATTAAATCAGATACCAATACGTTAAGACAGTTAATCAAAAAATAAGGATATAAAGAAACATGCTACAACAATAATGGTAAACGAGGGTCTGAGCACTTAGCCTCATTCCGTGGTCGTTTTGCCCATCAAGGTGGTCAATAATTGTTGCCTTAAAGACAAAACCTATTCAAAATTTTAAATCTAGAGCATTGAAAAGTTTTTTTTTTTTTTTCTTTTGCAAATTATGACCTTTCTATGTTAGTTATAAAGGGTAATAGGGTATAACAGACAAGCAAAAGAGTAATTTTGAGAAATTATCTTACACAGATCCAAGCAGGAGGGACAACATCATAAGGAAGACAAGGAGTATATCATTAGTTACCAGGATTTATTTGAAACTTAGTAAAAGAAATAAAAATATTTAACACATGCTACAACTACTGTTGCATGCTCAAACAAATCACCAACACCAAAAAGCACGATGATATGGGAAAAATGAATTAGAAAATAAGGGTGAATATACAACAGGATATCTATTAGCTTATTTCTTCTCTCTAGTATTTTTTTTTTCTGGCTTCTTACTCAAAATATTGCCTGTACATTCCAACCCCACAAAATAATTCAAATCGCAATTAGTACTTCATGTTTGCATTTTCTAAAATTGAAATTAATATAAACTGAACAGGTAACATGAGGTGTTATTAGTTCTTAGAGGTTCAATTTATCATGGATTGAGGTTGGACTTTGAAATGATTCAATTCGGAGCCTAAGTATGGTTACTTCACTCAAATTTCACCAGAGAATTCAATCTCATGACAATAAATATAACCATGTGTCATCATCAAATAGATAAGTTTTAACTATAAACAATTTCAGTCTCAAAATATAAATGGAATAGATGTTGCTTGGAACAAAAAGGTTCTATCACTTTCAAATAAATATTTTGACCCCAAACAAGTTTAACAGAATATGATGAAGGAATTTATCGTTGGAGTATTTGTCTGCAAGACCTCACATCATAAAATAATCATAAGCAGATTCCATGTAAACACATCTAGCACATGAAATTAACAACATCTATAGACCACAATAAATATGCTTACATATCATGCTAAGATTAGCTAGTAATCTTCTGATTTTAAGAATTGCAACAATGATTTTAGGATGAACAGAGGCTACTTTGTTACCACTATCTGAAATAAGTGCAATGTAGTCAAATATTACTGCCAAATTCAGAAGGAATACAAAACTTCTGAGTCAGCTGAAACTACTTGCTTAGATAGCTTTCATAATGGTGACTACCGTTAACAAGAAGACAAACAAAATGCGCTTGCCACACCTAACTTGATGTCATCACGTGTTTCCCTAACCTCAGTTCTAGACAACTGAATTTGAAAGAAAGAATCCAAAGTTTCTTGAATTGAGCAAGATATGACGATTTTATGGAAAAGCATGGTAATATACAAATCCATCTTTGAGACCTATAACTAGGCACAGCTAAAAAGAACCTTCAATTAGAAATTTTAGTGCTAAAGCATCAACTATATTTTCCACATAATCTAAGACAGTTAAATTTATTGGAAAGAGAAAAGAAGAGATTGCATTATCAACTATTCTTTTAGGAATTGAAAATTAAAAAGAGCAAGAATTCAGAGCAAAACAATTGACATGTCAGCCACCTGCTCGATTCCACTTCTTATGATTAACTCTGATACCAAAATGGAACTTCTTTTACTTTTTGTGAAATGCATGTCGACATAAAAAGAACTATCACATGTAACAAATCAAATAAGCCTAATACAAATCAAAGCGCCAAGCATTCATAAGCATAAAATAATGAACAAACTGCAATAATTAGACAAGCAAAAATTTTTGGACTAAAAGCAGTGTTGCAAATTGAAAAAAAAAAAATCCTCAACAATTAACATAGACTCATTCTCAGAAGTTTGAAGAATTAAATGAGAATCAATTTATGAACTAGAACCTCATATTACAGTGGATGATAAAAGTACACCTAACATGATTAAGATCCAATCAATCCCCCTAATAGTTCCGGCCCTTCATTAGTGTTTATGATACTCCAAGCATAACACCATAATTACCTTATCCTGCTAATGATAGATTCCAGGTTTTTAAAATATAATATATCACCTGAATGACTAAATTTGGCAATTATATGGTCAAGATCATCATCAAATTGAAGGCCCCAAAAACATAAGGAACGAGGCCAATCACATGTGATTTCAACAGCAAAACAAATTTTAAGAACCTGATCTGGTTAATAAAAGTAACCAATTTTGAAAGAGAAAAAGAAAAAAAGGTTACCTTATAACCTTCAATTCCAAACTGAAAAAGCCTGATTCCATTGGACTTTAAAAACTCGATGTTGGCTTCTGGGTACGGCTCCGGACACAGATATCTAACATAAAAAAAAAAAAAAAAAAAAAAGAAAAGCAAACAAACGAACAAAAAAACCAAAAAAAAAAAAAAACTCTTTAACTCAAAGTACAAAAATTTGCATGTAAAAACATTAACTTATATTTAAAAAAATGGCAGAAACTTTGTTCTTACATAATGGAGCTGAGGTTAAGTGTTTGGAGAAAAGAGAAGTTGGCAGAGCCAGGGAAACCGGACCTGAAGATGCCATTGTCAACCATAGCAAAGTTCAATGGAGGAATCAAGTTAAGGTCATCACCAGTGTTGGAAGAAACCACCACCGGGGACATGACCGGAGGCGACATATCGACGTGGTCAACGGTGGCAACAACTTCTATGGTTCTGCACATCTCTTGGCTCCCTTGTTGGTTTTGGGTTAGTTTGGTTTTAGTGTCTTCTTTCATGATTGAAAAAAAAAAAAAAAAAAAGACAATATATAGTTACAAGAAAGAGAAAGAGAAAGAAAAAGAGAGAGTAAGAGAGCGTTGGGATCAAAGTGTATGTGCTTTTTGGGGGTAAGGGACGATTCTGACTCGGGCTGCAGGGTGATCACAGTTAAAAAGAGAGAAAAAATCTATGGTAATATCAGTGTGAAAACTGGGGGTGGGGAAGCCGTTGGTTAAAAGTGGAGGGAGAGGGAGTTAAAGGAAGATGGAGATTGGAGATGAACATGGTTTATTTATACATCCGGACTTTTCACTTTTTTAAAGTGAGAAATTTTAGTACAAAAAGAAATAGAAGATTGGGACGGCATGGAAGAACATCGGTTGCTTTATTGGTTGAAAATGTTCCATTTTTTATATCAAAGATTAGTGGATTTTTCATATATATAAAATATTGAAAAACAAAGTAAAAAACTTTCCTTGGTGTTAAATTCAGTATTTAATTTATAAATTTATTTTTAAAAATTAAAACAGAAGAAATAATTTTTTTTCCAATGTAATTTAATTATTTAAGCTTAATTTGAATTTTATTGTACGTGTAAAAACTATATCATTTACAGTTATTCTTGTAAATTTATTCAATTATATTTTAACATTACATGATATTTACTAAAAAAAAATTATGTAAAGCTTGATGAATCTTCACATAATTTTTTATTATAATTAATTAATTATAATATTATAAATAATATGAATCCACCTGTAAAATCCTAAACCCCTCTAATTTCAAACTGGATAATTAACTATTTTAATGTAAAATTGAAAAAAAATCAAATGTTATAATCAACAATGTTAATTTTAATTTTATTATTATAATATTTAATCTCATCATTATCATTATTTCAATTTCACCACTCCATGAAATTTTAATCTAAAAATTTTTTTTTGAATATGTCAAACAAATTTAATAGAGTTTGTTTGCTTTATAAGTTTTAGTTTGAAAAAAAAAAAAAAAAAAAAAACATTTACGTGTTTGAGATTTAACCTTTAGCAAGATATTTATTTTATCAATACACGTTGTATCCGAAAAAAATCAATGAATGTCTAGTCATTGTCAGATTAAATTAAACAAAGCATAAAACTTAGGTGACAGAAATAATTTTTCTTTTTTTTTTTAATTATGCAAAATGGAATAAGTCACAAAATTTTTCTCTAATTATCACCATGATATTGAAATCAAATGAAGCTATGGACCAATACTCAGTATGAAAAAGAAAGGTTGTTTTATTTTATAGAACACCAAATACGAAAATAGTAAATGAAATAAAATAATAAGCTTTTGACATCCAAATCAGATAGTGAAAAGAGCAATAAAGAAACGAAAATGGGCAGACAATACATAAAATATTTGAGAAGTAGAAGGGGAATAAAGAGTACATTCTGGAGAATATGCTATTGCATGGGAAAGAGAGACAAAAGAGAGAAAGGGAGAGATGGATCAAAGGATGGTTACTTTAAATGATAAAAAAAAAAAGTTTTTTTTTATTATTTGAGTTTGAATATATTAAATTATAAATTTATTATACTCAACATAAATAAATTATTTAAATTAACAGAAAAAAATACCAAATAAAATTCAAGAATTTTTATTATTAAATAAAAAAAAGTTGAATAGTGATACAGTTAGTGATGTTAGAGCTGGAATGCGAGACCCGTGCGCCACGTATTTTTCCGACTCACTACTTTTCTGCAAATCCAACGCCACATCAATGCGCAAAAAGTGTGCCAAAAAGGCCTCTTTCTCGTTACCCTTTCCGTGGCTAGTCATAATAACTGACAGCTTATAAAATTAAAACTAGCAACTCTTGATAATTAAATTCTTAATTGTTTAAAATTTCATAATTTATTATTCAAAAAAAAAAAACTGATCCTAACATTTTTTTTATTTTTTCCTATAATAGCATGATATGCTTTTTTATATGAACAGCCAATGAAGGATAATTGCATAAACAATTATTTTTAGAGCTTCTCAACGTTTTAAAAAATATATTATAATGTATAGTGTACTTATATTATATATTTAAATTTAATTTAATTAGTGTTCATATTAAAATTGTTATTTGTTAATTTTATTTTTAATTTTTAATTTAAATTTAAACATTGTAATTTATGAGAAATTAAAATTACATTATTATTTGTCTAATTATTATATCCACAATCATTATTCAAAAACTCGTAAAAACAATAAATTTGTAATAAATATTAAGTTATATTCATGTAAACTTTAAAATAAAAAATCAACTTTCTCATTTTCTCAATAAAATTACAACTTTTCAACCAAATACCATATATATATATATATATATATATGTCTATATATTTAGCCAATAGTTATTTTCTCATATCTTTTTGACCTTTTTCGTTTTTTCTGTTTGATAAAATTTCAAATAAATTATGTTATTTGATTCCAATCTCCTTTTTTTTTTTTTGAAATATTTGTGTTTGATACATATATATAATAAATGTGAATATAAAAATTAGACGGTCTAAAAATAAAGAAAACTTATAAATTAATATGTTTTTATTGAACATGTATTATATCTAATATTAACTCTCAAATTTTAATAACATAACGAACATAACAAATAAAAACATATAATTTTAATTGATCATCTCAAAATCAGATATTAAAATCGGTCACTGATTGTCTATAAACTAAATTGGACTTAAAAATGGTATAGGAACGCGTATGCTTGTTCAAATCCATCAGCTCCGACAAACCACATGCTATTTTTTGGGATAGTAGTAGCCTCCAATATGTCAAGCACGTCCTAAAAGAAAAATCTTCATGACAAATATGACCAAGTCCAATGACGTGTCGAAACGGTAAAGTAAGATATTTATGACATTTTTTAAAATTGAAACATAAAAATTTTGAAAGAGAAAAAGTTTTTTGACATTCTTTTCATTGATAAATTAACAAACTCCTTGATAATTTTTTATTTATATTATAAATAAATATCTCGGAAAAAAATCTTAAATTTGTTGCTGACCTAATCCCGTGGCATTTTTGGAGACATATGTAATCCACAAAATTTTGTATGGAGACGTCAATAGTCTTCAAATAATAGTAATTTAGGGACGAAAAACGTCTCCATAAAGTTCCACACTCTTTTATGAGTTTCGGAACTATTGTCGAATGTCATTCTGAGTTGCAGGGACGATTTGTCAACACTCGTCGTTAAAAATTTTCAGAAACGCGATTTTAGAGGATGACTGGAATGATTTTTCAGCTTTTGGGGACGATCTTCAAATCTCAATTGTTTCCGATTCCTCAAATTTTTGTAATAATATATAATCGAAAAATTAAATCGTACAAACTCGAACCTTAAATGTTGGAAATAAATTTCAACCCGTTTTTAAACGGGTTTTTAATTTATTCGACGGATTTAATACTTTTTTAAGTCCTCTCAATCCAAACTACTCTAGTCGGACTGCTTTTCAATCTTTAAACATGATAATATTTTTTCTTCCGACGATTCAAAGTTTTTCTACAGATCAAGTCATTTTAACTTTGTTGAGTTCAGGAATGGAAAGTGACACATACAAATATACGAATAGATGAATCAACGCTCTTCCTCCATAAAACATTTTATCTGGGTCGGGTTCCAATCCACTCAAAATTCCTGTTTAATTATATAGGGGATAGGAAACTAATTAAACCACTACTGCTACTGACCCACCAAAGAGCATGTAAAAGTGATCAAAACTTGATACAAAATTACAAACACAACTTTAGGCTGCTAAAGCCTACCACTAAAAGTGCAGGTAAATCCTAATTATTTTTATAAAAGAAACAATAGTTTGCGAATAATAAAGAGGATAATTATTCGAATCGAATTCAGTTTAATTTTTTAAAATAATATATAATATTATAAATTTTTTAAATTCAATTAAAATTTGAATCAATTTATTTTTGAATTTGATCAAAATCAAATTTTACTAATTCAGTTAATTGCTTTTTTAATTTAATTTTTTATATACTATTTTAATAAGATTTTTTATATATTTAAATAAATTTATATATAAAATAATTATTTTTATTTTATAAAAATTTAAAAAATATATAATTTGATTTGATTTAATTTTTTTTTTATTTTTCACATCTCGATATGAAATTCGATCCAAACTTAATATATATTTAATATTCAACATTAATCCGAATCAAATTAAAAATAATTTAATTCGAATCAAATCAAATACAATTTATCAATTTGATTTCTTAATTTTTTAATTTTTTTTCACCTCTAACAAATAAAAAAATTATAAATATTAAAATTAAAATTTTATATTTATTAAATACCATCGCTTAATCTCGTTAACCAACTAGGTTAAGCAATCATGTAAATACTATTTTTTTTTCGAGTTTTGCTGGTTTAGGTTTCATCTGAGTTAAGGCGATATGTACTGGGAATCTGGGACTAATCTTTTATTAATTTTTGGTGACTTGAGAGCTGCAACTAGCTACTCGATGGGAACCGTAAAGAGTAGTAGTACTAGTCAGAAAAGCAACTTCAAGAAAATGGAAATTAATTAATCACAGGGCCTTTTTGCTTTTTGGCTATAGGTTGATGCATTCTCTTGATCACAATGTTGACATTTATGCAAGAATCAACATAAAATATTATCTTCAACATTAAAATGGATTTTAAAAAAAAAAGATAACTTCATGTAAGAAGATGAAGTCGTTAATTATTCTTTTGAATTGATTTTTTTTTAAAGATAATATTTTTAATTGATATGATAAAAACATATGATTAATTTGAAATTTTATATACATGATGGATATATAAATATATTATTAAATTCAAATTAATTTTACATGAAATTATAAAAATTAACATTGGAGTTTTGGAATATAAAACAAAAAAGAGTCTGATTTCAGTAGGAATTGCATGCGCAATATTAAAAAGTACATGATTTTGATGTGGGAACGAGACATCTATATTTTTCTTATAAAAAGCCATGACAATTTCAAAACGCTATATCCGTTTTACGTTTAACAGAATATAATTTTGAAAACTACTTGTGCGGATAACGTTAAACATCAATCTTTGACTCCACAAACTCGATCATTGAATTTCATATAAGGATCAAGCTATTGATCATTGAAATAATAAAAATAATAATATAAAAGTTATGACCCAACATTGTTATTTGATATTTAAGTTATTATTATTATTATTATTATTATTATTATTACACTATCATCAATTTTCAAATAAAGCAACACAGAAAAATTTTAAGTTTGAAACAGCAAAAGCCCCCCTCTGTTAAATCTTTCTTTCTAACAAAAATAATAATAATAATCAATTATGTATAGCCTC